TAGATCTCTTCATCTTCACTTTTATTGAGTTTTTGTTCCAAGAAGCATGACACTTGGGAAATGGGCATCCCAAGTGAGTATATCATTAAATCTGGAGCCATGGAGGGCCTTCATGGCATAAAGGTGCAAACTTTATGGCCATTGAGGCCCCATGCAAGATTTAAGGTGTCATTTTGGCCTTTTAAGCCCCAAAAGGCCATGCATGGAAGGAAAGTCAAGGACTTTACGCGTTCTTATAGTGTCTAGGGTCCATATCTCAATTTTTATACTTTAGTTTGAAGTATTATGGCTTTTTGATCAAGATCTAGGTCTTAAAGAGTTAGGGTTTGAGCTAAAACCATTAGGAAAGGCTATTAACGGGTAAAGTTGGAAACTTTACCCTTAAAAGGACATTCCGGTATGTATATGAAGTATGGAACTTGAATCTGAAGGATCACTTAGATACCCTCTAGTCTAAGGTAATTACAATAGCGTCTAATATGTGGCGATAGCAATACTAAGGTGTTTAATCTATATGTTTATATAGAAATTGTTGTATTGTATATGTATCTATTTAGAGACTATGGGTTATACTATATTTGCATGCTTAGAACTGATATGATTTCTTAATTGCTTGGCATTATAAAAACTAACATCAAACAAAATGGTTACACTGTTCTTAAGAGCACATTTTGCTCCAGGGATATAGATCTGTTTCACTTTTATTTGAACTATCTTTGATCTTTTTGCAAAATTATGAGAAAAATATGTTTAACTACTCTTTTAATCTGGTTGTAATATCAGGAACACTAGATGAAAACAAAAGAAGTAGATCGAAATCATGTGTTTGATGGAGACTTGGATCATGTGTATTTGAGCAACAGAAGTAGTTCTCTCTCAACATTCTTACTTTTTTCTCCAAGCCGATTAAACATGAATTTCTTATTTCAAGAGGAAAAAAATAATTTGTTAATTAAAGGAGGTTTGGGCTAAAGATTAACAAATCAATTGGTGACATTTTTACGTCATTATTACTGTTGATTTTTTATGTTTACCCCATAAAATGAAACCCGTAGTACACAACTATTTTAGTTAAATGTAATTGATTTAAACTATTTAAGTTGATTGGTATATTGAGTGTCATAAATAGGCATCAATTTATTATCACGTGACATTATTTAGTTTTTTGCGGTTTTTATATGCATAAAGATTAACACAGCTCTCTCCCGCTGCGACTTTAAATTCACTCATGAATCAACCAAATCTCCCATATTCCATAAAACCGTCTACATGTTGCGTTAAACAACTGCACTTTATGCATATAAAAACTGCATTTAAAAACAACAAATTTAACACTAAAATTTACACCTTAAGGCACTTTAAATCTGCACTCTTATGCACTTAAAAGTTGAGTTTTTTAGTCACTTAAAAATTAGAAATAAACCGCAAGCTTTATTTGGGCATATGAAACTTACTTATTTCATTTATTTATTTATTCCACATTCTTATTTCTTTTTCTAAATTTAATATTATTCTTTTTATTAAAGCATTGTACTTTGAAAGTACAGTGCTATATTTGGGCATAATTTGAAAACAACCACCCAATTATAGCATACTTTCAAAGTACAATGTTATTTAAAAAAAAAAAAAAGAGCTCATTAGAACATTCTTTGTTGTGTAGGTGTTTGTATCTGTATGAATATATAATTTATAATTATCACTGATTTGCCATTTGTAGCCATGTAGTTTCATTAATTTGCAAAATTTATTTAAAATAACCATTAATGAGTTATTTTTACGTGTATACGACAAAACTAAAAAAACCTCGTTTAGTGATGATGATTGTAAGGGTAAGAAGTGAAGGTAGAGTAAATTATTACAAAGATACACCAAAAAACCAGGAGATTTTTGCCTATTAAAGCAATAATAAGATTATATACAATCACAAGAAAACTAAAAAAAAAAAAAAAAAAAAAAAAAAAAAAAAAAAAAAAAAAAAACTCCCCATCAGCATTAAAACGTCCAAATACCTCTCCCTAATATACACATCATCATGATTATATCTTTACTACTACTCCTAATATCTTCTTCCTATTCCTTCAAGAGCCGAGGGTCAAGCCAGTCACTCTTTTTTTTCTAACAAATAAACACCAAATTACCACCCCGACCCCTCTTTTATCATCCACTTTTTGTCTTAAAACCCGACAATACCACCCGAAACAATTTTACTTTTTTTTTTTTTCTTAAAATTAAAAAAAAGAAAAACCTAGCAAGGGGAACATTAATTAATTAACACCACTCCACTCTTGTAAATCATTTTTCAACCGCTTCTTCATTTTCTATCTGCTGCTGCTTATTACTTCCCGCCCTCATTTTCTTCACATCCTGACTCGAACATATCAAGATCCTTTTCACCATGTTACAAAACTCCCTACACAAATCACCACCATAAACATATATATATATATATATATATATATATATATATATATATATATATATATATATATATATATATATATATATATATATAAATTCATTCTTTTATTTTATATTATTTAAAAAATAAATTAAAACTTACGGCCATGGATCATCACCCATCAACATCATGTCACCTTCATCATCAGTAAACACAATTTCCCATTGGTTCCTTGGGCGTAACTCTCCCTTGATCTCAAACATTTCTTCAAGTTCATCAATCAACTCATTGTACCCTTTCAACACAGTTAAATCCACTGCACGACCCACTGCTATCCCTTGCATTTGAACCTTTCATTTTCGTATATTATTATTATTATTATTATTATTATTACATATATTCATCAATTTGATTCACATAAAATCATAAATGTGAATGTGTGAGTACCTTGGTACGACTACGTGTAGTACATGTGGTTTGTTTGCTTTGAACTTCTTTTGGGGAGACATGCAACTTTTCTTGTTCTTTGTCCGATATTACAGCTGATAAAGTGCTTGCCACCTGTCCTCCTTCAATGGAGGATTGTGGTGGTTGTGGTTTCTCAATATTTTGGATCTTTAAGTCGAAACCAAATATTCTACAACTTGAAACAATTTCAGGTTTCTTTTTTTCAACTGAATGTGATTCATTTGTTGTTTGTTTGATGGATTCACGAGGCGAGTAAGTTGACCAAGCTGACAGACCTTGACCTTGACCTTGACCCTTTCTATCTTCGGCTTCATCTCCATACATGTTTCTACATGCTTTTACTGGAGAAGATGATGATAGCCAACCAACCTCCATTTGAGTCCTTAAAAGACACCCGTTTTTATCAACTCTTTGCCCTTCAGGGGTACAACTTAATTGGGCTGAATCATGAGAAGGGTTCCAAACAGTTGATACTGTTGAACATGTAGGCTCTAAAACACATGATAAACTACAAGTTAATATATTATATGGAAAAAAAAAAAAAAAAAAAAGGTTGCTCACCAAGATTAGGGATCTCCATTGGAGGTCTAGGCCTTTTTGTTTTTGGTGCAACTGGTTGAGGGATACTTGTGGGAACAGGAGCTACAAAAGTTTCAATCTCCCATGGAGAAACTCTTTCAGGTCTAGTGATAGATGCATTTTCATCCCATTGGACCTGAAATAGTCAACAAACATGTTTGACCATGTTAAGTTTTTTGAATCTTTGACTTCTTTTTTTCTAAGTGAGACAAATTATTAACCTTTAAAGATCGCCATTTAGAACAGTTCCATTGTGGAGATATGTCCTCAACCCCAACTATTGTGCCTGTAAACCTGATCAAATGAAGGAAATTTTTAATTTTTGTGCATCCAAATGTAAAAAAGATTGAATACCCGGATTTAAAATAATCTATAAATTTATGGGTTACCTTCTTTCTGGAGAATCCTCCCCCTCAAACCTCATCTTGAATCTCATGCCAACAGTAAACCCATTGTTTACAGCTTCTATATACTTGTTTAACCCTATGATGAACTGACTTGTCCTGAATAATTTTCACCATATTGTAAAAAAACTAAAAATAATTTTTTAGCTAGAATCAAAAATCAAGATTCATTTTTTTTTAACATACCTTGGCTTGTAGTAAACAGCAAACCGGGTTTGAGTTGAAACAGCATGTGATGCGGTTGCAAGCACTCCAAGATGCATGCTCTGGCTTGAAATTACCGAAGAGGGCATGGAGCTTTGTTGGCGAGCTTGACGTCTAACTCCAACACGTAATTCCCCATTTTCACCTCTATTATCCAGATTTTTGTCAAGATCAAGACAAAACTTTCTTGAAAAATGGAGGGTAGAAAAGGGATATAAGAAAAGAAAAGGCGTACCTAAGGAATACGAATGAATCACCAGCCACTAATCTCTTATTCGTAACAAAAGTACTCCATCCTGTTGTAAGCAGATGCCTTCGTGGTTGACCTCTGAAGATATGCTTAAATCGCCACTCGGTGCCATGTAGATCTGTTGCTGCTAACTCCTGAGTAGGAGTTGCTTGTGTCATGTCCTGAAAATATAAGATTTTGGTGAGAATTGGAGCATGAAAAAGAGGGTACAGAGAGGAGGTGGAGGATGTAGAAGAACAAGAGAGTTTACCAATGGAGGAAGGCACTCGTTTGCGTGCTTCCGGAGGACTGAGAATCCTCCATGAGTACTCGTGTCTGAAGCTGTTAAGACTTTGCAGAAAGAGTGAACAGTTGGCCTCACAGGCTCAGCTAAGCATTCATCAGGACTTGTTGGATCACTTTGCTGTGTATTTGTTTACAGAAAAGTGAGAAACAAAAAAATAGAAACTTAAAAAAGTAAGTTTATATGTATATGCTTACATCTATCTCAGGCAGTAGAGTGATTTGAGCATAAACTTCATCTGTGTCTTGTTCAGCCTACAAAGGCATAGAAGAATTTTATGAAATTTAAGAAAGTAAAAAAAAGAAGCTCAGTAGAGGAATTTAACATTTTTAACTAACAAACACAACCATATATTTTGATTTGCTTTCCACCTTTTAAGAAATTAGACATAATCTAAATTTAAAACCTCAATCGATCCGAAAATAAATATTGTAAAGGCGAAATATTACATACCATTAGCTGAGTATGAACAACGCGACAAAGAATCTTTGATTTGAGGTTGAAGAGAGGAATCCTCTGATTTAATTCCTGATTTGTTGATGCCTCTAACTGTACAAAACCCACAAATAGCAAAAGAAAATCAGATAAATAAAGCCAATTACAGTTAAGAAATTAAAACTAGCATATTAAGAGAAACTCCAACAAACAGAGATCTGAAATTTTCAAGCCAAGAATAAGAAATCTTTTACATACTTGCTCCATGTGGCCTTGAGGAAAGTAGAAAACTCTTTCTCCATCCCTTGGAACATCCACTAGTGGGCCCGCACATGCCTTCCATAGCTCCTTATACAGCAGATCTTCACAAAATTAAGAATCACATCATAATCAAAATTTACAAGAAAAATAAAAGAAACTTACATCAACAATCAGTACCAACGTAAAACAAAACAGGAACAAATTACTACTGTTAGCATAGAAAAGTAGAGAAATGAAAACTTCAAATCGATAATTAACTTAATCGGGGAAAGCTGTATATGCATATAATTTGTAGCATAGATACATAAAAGCAAGGAAATTTTAACCATGTTTAGCAGGAAACCGTGAAGGAGTTTCACCTTCAGGTGAGAGAGAGGATGGCCCTCGATTATCCATGGTTAAAAAAACTAAATTGAACAGCTCAGACCGCAGAAAGTCTTCTAAAACACAAATCGCCGGGAAATTAAACCTCCAAAATCATGAATTTTTCCGCATTATATGCGTAAACCAGTGATAACGGCAGCCTTTCAATAAATCTCGCTTTTATAAGGAAATTTAACCAGGTAGATGAAACCCTAAACCGTCAATCTTCGGTTACAAAGTACACAGATCGGAAAACGGAAGAGATGATGTTCAGCTCCAGAACTCTGTTTCTCTCTCTAACAACACAGTACCTCTTCCTCTTTCTCTCACTACAATCCAGGAAATGTGAAAACGCCGTTACTGAACCCTGAAAACAAGTTAATATACGCCTTGATTTCTTCTCTCTCTAAAACTTCCACTTTCTCTCTCTCTCTCTCTCTATAGGCCTGTGTTTGTCTCCTTTCTTGGTGGTGTGTAGTGCGTGAAGCTAACCTAACTAACCATGGTTGAGTTTGTGCTTTTTTTAGTCCTATGTTGAGTTAACTTTTTGTATTTTCATTTTTTCCAGTAAAATACAACTTTTATTACAAGATATAGATAGATAATTATGATAACTTTTATATAGGATTTTCTGGCTCTATAACCTTGTCTTTTTCGATACATTTCTATCATCAAATTATCTTACCATATGTATCAAGAAAATGTTTATTTTTATTTTTTTAAATACTGAGACATGTGAAATGTATATCTATAGGTAATAATTTATTTACATTAATTACTCCTTTTATCATGCTGCTTATGTTTTTTATTAAGTAAATATGATGTTTTTCTCATGATCTTTATATGGTGACCAATTAATAGTTTTAAAATCTAAAGTAAATGTTATATTTGGTCCAACCAACCTAAAAATGTAGTTATGAATTTATTTTTTTCATGGAAAAAAAACAATATTTTAATCCCATCTAATCTCTTCAAAAATTAACTATTAATTAAATATTCTAAATATAAAACTTTCAAAACCTATTATCACAATCTTTTCATTATGGACTACAATTAGTTTTAACGGTATATTGTAATAAATGTTAACGTTTGGGTCGAAAAATATGTAGTATGTTGTATATTTGTTTATGTTTATTTATTATGGATTATGAGCATATATTAGTATTAAGAACAAGTGGGTTTATGAGATGTAAAGGAGGGATTAATTAGTGATGTCACTCACTCTAACAAGGATAGTATATGTCAAATGCCCGATTGACAAAAGTTATAAGGATCCTTATAATCATCAAAACTGGAAAAGTTTAGATAATAGGACCACTTAAGATTTAAATTTCATAAATTATTTATAATTTCATTAGATGAAAAGACTAACTTAAATTAGGGATAAGTAAGATAATCACAATAATTTGAAGATATAGGCAAATGATCACATTTTTTATGGATTCGGTAACTACAAATTTCTCTTATTTGAATCATATACTTAAGAGAAAAAATTATTCTACCCAATGTCATAGTGTTCAAGATTGTTATTTTTCTACTAAAAGACGTTAATATGAGTTTGTATCGAAATCTATTTTTTTGTATTTCATAAGTTTTTGCTATTGGTTGTATCTTAACAACCAATAACATGGTGTCTTCGAAACAATCAAAGGACCGAATGGAAAATTATAATCAACAAGAACACACATAGAGAATTAAAAGATAACTCAAAAAGTGAATTTTTATTTCATAATTGGAAAATTGTCTAACAAACAAGGAAAAATAAATACTTATGTAGGGAGGAGAATATAAGTTTCATCCCTTAACCCTATAAGATCATAACTGATTCAGATAAGATTTTAAATCAATAAATCAAATCTCCAAAAATATAATTTTGGGGAAAAAAAATGTGTTTTTGAGGCCTTAAATGATCACGGATGGCTGGAAAACACATGTCATGGAAGAGCTATGAGTTATTTTAATCGGCTCATTTTGTATGTTATGTGTGAATTGCATCCAATTTTAAGATGTTGGATCACTTATGCAGATTTGTCACTGATGTCATCATACATTTCATTCCTATTAGTGTTGACGTCATCAAGTCATGCATCATCACTTGTACCACCTGCATCACAAGTGATGTGTAAATATGTTATATAAACATACAAAATCATAAAAACTAAGATTATCGTGCAACCAATCGAAATGAAAAATAACTCAAATTGGTCTTGATCATTCATTTAAATGTATGTCACTATTTCAGGATACTTCTCCAAATTGTAATAATACAAAGTCACTTTATAAAATAATACTCCCCCCCCCCCCCTCTCGAAAATTTAGATGCATGTTGCTTCCCACACCAGGTTTGGTTGCATGAAATATTTATTTTGTAATTGGAAGTGAAATATGTTGGATGTCAGATCCATGGCAGAGTATGTTATGACCCTTACTTAACATCTTGCCGTTTAAATAATTCAACACTTTTGTTTCCTTGGCGACGGTTTGGGTTCAATTATGTTAAAGAACAATTGTATTCATCCACAAGTTTTCTTACGTGAAGCATGCCACTATTATCTAGTTTTACATATGAAATACACCAAGAATAATTTTCCTGGTAACATGATGCTTGATTTTTTTTTTTCTTTTGATACATCAATTTTGCACTAAAATCCCTCATGAACACTTTTCACTTATATTTCTAGGTGAAAAGTTTCTTTGCATTTGAAGCTTTGTAGATTTTGTCCTTTTTAATAGGTTAAGGTTGTGTGACGGAGTAGGTGCTTATATCGGGTCCGGACAAAGTGATTGATATCATCCACCAACAGAAGTACTTCTCAGTAATTTGTATCATCATCTTTAGCAAGTTCTATGTCAACTTTATCATCATCATTGTCATTTGTAGGAACAACATTATCACATATAGTAACATCATCATCACCAACATACTTATAACAACCACAACGATTTCCACCGGATCATTATCTGCCATATACAAATGTATAACATTTGAAACTTATTGAATAACATTTTTCAAGTATTTCATATCACTTCCATCGACTATCTTTTTAACATATTTCATTGTTGGATTTTGGAAAGACAATTCAATGTTAGGTTTGTCTTTCAAATCTATTTTTTGTTTGACCAAATATAACAAATCGTTAAAAATTATATCTGGTGGAATTTTCACACCATAGTTTTTAGCAAATGCCATGATGTAAATATATTCAAAATTTTCTAAATGTCATGAAACACTGATATAAACAACAACAACAACAACTTAGTCATCTGGAATTTTGAAGCCTTACTATTTTCCTTAATAAAATTATATCAGATAGAGAAATTTGTATTGTTTTTTAAATCAAAAGTATATCTCGTTAAATATCCATACGCTTAGGAGTGTATATGTCATATTTTAATAGTATGAATTTTAACTTTTTACAGTACGAGTGTACAGTTTTACAATAAAATTTACTAGGAAATATAGCATTTTGTTAGAAAATACAGTATTTTCATATTTTTGTAGATGACATATGTAACGACTGAAAAATCATTACTTCACGCACAAGAAATTTAAAATAAAATAACATTGATAATGTAGAAAAAAATGAAGGATCAGAAAGTACATTGCTATTAAGGAAAAGTCAACAAAAGTCAACCATAGTTTAAATGTGGCGCATCGGGATATCTGTGTGGCAACACACATGGCATGAGGCGGTTACACGTGGAAAAGGTTGGACACACAACATGTCGCATAAAGCAAAATGTGGTATGGACGCGACGCATCCACAAAAGGGGTGCGACGCGTAAGCGCGTGACAACCCTTATAAATACCTTGAACCCGTCTCCATTGTACATTTCCTAAAGAAAGTCTCAAGCACTTATGTAACGATTAACGGCCTGTGGGAGTATGTATTAACAACGAAACGCAAGGAACACAATCATGGAACGATATAAGGTATTCTCTTGTCTCGTTATTATGTAACATAATTATAGTAAAAGTTGTTAGAAATTGAGTCAGATATTAGAGTCTGCAATACGGGCTATTACAGACTCAAAGGATAAGCCGGTTGGATGAATTTTCCATTGGAGTTCTTAATGAGTTTAACGAGGGTTACAAACCCTTTGTTATAGAATGGTCATAGGTGATTGATCAAGCTAACGACTTACGGAGTTAAGTTGTTTAGCAGTCATAATATAAGGCATGATGAGTCTAGTAACAAATGGTTGCCATATTCAACCAGTGATCATATAAAGTATCGTTATAGAAGCTATAAATGCAAGTTTATACAAGTTTTAAAGAACTTAGTATATTACTTTAATAGATTTGTACAAGTGGTATGCTGGAAAGTATGAATATCTCACCAAATATGAATATCTCACTAAATATGATTATGCTTAGTTATATGAAAAACGTGGATATATGATTATGCAAAGTAGTTGATTTTACATGAAAAAGTATGAATATCTCACTAAATATGACTATGCTTAGATATATGAAAAATGTTTATGTGAATGTAAAAGGGAGTAAGCAAGTCTTTTGAAAGAAAAAGGCTTTTAGAACGTGAGACTAAAGGTTCCTACTATTTGATGTTTTGTTTTAAAATTGGAACATTGGTATTAGAAACGGTTTCAAAATAATAGCATGTCATGTGTTAAATGATTTTGAAATGGTTTTTAAAATAAAAAGGGCATCGCTAGTTATTTGGATTATGAGTTTCAAAGGTTATGTGTTATGTGTTTTTGAGATTTGATCGATTACTCTTGTTGAGTTTTCACAACTTTTGTTTAAGATAATTTATTTGGATTTAATTACTTAAGATGAGTTTTTGTGTGTTGAAATGAATGCATTCATAGTTTTAACATTGAGATCCAACCAGAAGCGGCGACAACCAATAAGCAATTGTGACTTTTCCATAAGTCATGTGACGGGCACTAGTGTCACAGCCTCGGGATGGGCATGATTCATATAGATTCGCAGAGTTCAGGTTTGGATGTAGCTTCATGGGTTTGACTCACGTTGATCAATATGTTTTCAGTTTTAGGATATGTGCCCCTATAGCAAATTTCCTATGAGGTTTTTTGCTTTTAAAGTTACGACTTGCTTGTGTTTTATAAGATGACTATTGAGTTTAAATGTGATTTGAAAACAAGTTATGAATTTTTTTACTAAGTTAGAACCTACATAGATCATGAGTCTTCAAACTTATGTAGTTTGTGCTATATACACACATATGAAGATAGAGATAGAGTATGCTACCAAAAAGACTTCAATGAAATCGTAGAAGGTTGTATAATCTTTTTCTCTTCATAAAAAATAGGAATTGTATATTATAGGGATGATCCGATCCGCAAGGACCATGATTGGGAATTGTTTGATCGTCTTTCTCTGAGGAAGAGGCAAAATAGAATCAACTTGAATTCGGGACCACTATTCGAAATCTTAGTGAAACACTGGATTTGTTATCTCATGTCTGCTTTTCGTGAAAAAATACCAATTGAAGTGGAGGGTTTTTTCAAACAACAAGGGGCTGGGTCAACTATTAAATCAAATGATATTGAGCATGTTTCCCATCTCTTCTCGAGAAACAAGTCGGCTATTTCTTTGCAAAATTGTGCTCAATTTCATATGTGGCAATTCCGCCAAGATCTCTTCATTAGTTGGGGGAAGAATCCGCCCGAATCGGATCTTTTGAGGAACGTATCGAGAGAGAATTTGATTTGGTTAGACAATGTGTGGTTGGTAAACAAGGATTGGTTTTTTCGCAAGGTACGGAATGTATCGTCAAATATTCAATATGATTCCACAAGATCTAGTTTCGTTCAAGTAAGGGATTCTAGCCAATTGAAAGGATCTTCTGATCAATCCAGAGATCATTTTGATTCCATTAGTAATGAGGATTCGGAATATCACACATTGATCAATCAAAGAGAGATTCAACAACTAAAAGAAAGATCGATTCTTTGGGATCCTTCCTTTCTTCAAACGGAAGGAACAGAGATAGAATCAAACCGATTCCCGAAATGCCTTTCTAGATATTCCTCAATGTCCCGGCTATTCACGGAACGTGAGAAGCAGATGATTAATCATCTGCTTCCAGAAGAAATCGAAGAATTTCTTGGGAATCCTACAAGATCCGTTCGTTCTTTTTTCTCTGACAGATGGTCAGAATTTCATCTGGGTTCGAATCCTACTGAGAGGTCCACTAGAGATCAGAAATTATTGAAGAAACAACAAGATCTTTCTTTTCTCAGGCGATCGGAAAATAAAGAAATGGTTAATCTATTCAAGATAATTACGTATTTACAAAATACCGTCTCAATTCATCCTATTTCATCAGATTCGGGATGTGATATGGTTCCGAAGGATGAACCGGATATGGACAGTTCCAACAAGATTTCATTCTTGAACAAAAATCCATTTTTTGATTTATTTCATCTATTCCATGACCGGAACAGGGGAGGATACACGTTACACCACGATTTTGAATCAGAAGAGAGATTTCAAGAACTGGCAGATTTATTCACTCTATCAATAACCGAGCCGGATCTGGTGTATCATAAGAGATTTGCCTTTTCTATTGATTCCTATGGATTGGATCCAAAACAATTCTTGAATGGGGTATTCAACTCCAGGTATGAATGGAAAACGACATCTTTATTGGTTTTATTGGTTCTACTTCCTATTTTTTATGAAGAGAATGAATCTTTTTATCGAAGGACTTACTATAGTTGTTGGTATTATTATAACACTGGGACCTTAAACTCTTATAATGGTTTAAAGTTTTTGTAAAAGCACATTTTTATTGATGATAAATGGTTTTTTAAAGTACAGTGCTACAACATATGTGAAAACCCATTTTTGTCGCAATAACATTTGAAAAAATTCATTTTTTTCACATATAAAATATGAGAAAATATGACATTTTAGAAAACTCATTTTTTTTTGCAAATGACATACGATATGAGAAAACACATTTTTTTCGCATATGAGTAGCGATAATTTCGCATATGTAAGTTACGAAGTTACCCTATATATAGAGATGTCAAAAAGTCTCGCGGGATCCCCATCCCGTTTTAGGGTATTTATTAAAAAAACATTGGGGGTAAGGACGGGGCAGAGGCAAGGTTAACCCCCGTTTTAATTTTAGGAGGGGGGGCCGGGGTGGGCAGTCCCGTCCCAAAACTCCCATGCGGACCCCAGAATCCCTCCTATTATTTGTTACCAAAAATCTATCATGGGCAAAGGAATGGTGGCGGGGGCGCAGGTAATAAGAGGGATTCTGGGGCGGGGACGGGGAACGGAAAATTTTTGGGGGCGGGGGCGAAAGATGCACTCTCCGTCCCGTTTACCCCCGTTGACATATATATATATATATATATATATATATATATATATATATATATATATATATATAAATGATTTCCCCCTTAAATAGTGGAATGATTTTTGCATTTAATAGAGATTTTTGAGTGTCATCAGTCAAAATCGTGACTATTTTGATTAAACTGTTTAATTTTTATTAAATTAAAAAAATAATAATGATAATAATTAGTAATAGCTTGATATATGTCTTTCTTAGTTTAAGTGTAAGTGTATTATCTTTTCTCTTAATTTCTTGTTAAATATAACGGTGTTAACTTTAATGGTAATCCAAAAGAAGCAAGAAGAGTGACAAGAGCGAGAGCGTGAGCGTGGGGACCAAAATGGCTTTGACGGACGTTTAATCAGTCATTCAAAGACCAAAAAGAGTGGGGACCAATCTCACAAAAACCAATTACTTTTTTAATGAAAAGAATAAAATAAATGGTATTTATTACAACACTCTTTATAGAAATAACTATGGTACATTCAAAGTTATTACTAAATTCATTATAGCTTTATATGTAATTATCTACCGAATATTATGGGTTTAATTTTCATTTAAGAATTTGATAATTCAATCGACGAATTTATTGATATTTTCTTTTTTTTATGTTATGCTATTTTTTATTAACGTTTTTTTCAAATAAAATGCTATTGAGTTTGATATACTCACGGTTGCACATTATATTTCTCCAGTTTTTTTTAATTATATATAATTTTGTGAAACCATAAGATGTAATCATAGCCATTCATTTAGTGGATAAAAAAACATTTTTAAAATACAAAATAATTGAAAATTTTCGATAGAAAAAATTTCAAATATTATTTTTGGAATTTATATATTCCAAGAAAAAATAAATAAATAAATAAATGGTTTTACATATTTTAATAGAATATTAGAATATTCTACATATCTGACAAATTTAGTAGAATATTTTAACATTTTAAAAATCACATTAGAATATTTACAGTATAATATTCTATTAGAATATTTCACCTATTTAAAAAAAATGGTAATTTTTTATTTATTTATTTTTTAATTTTTTTTAGGTAATTAAAGTTCCGAAAATAATAATTAAAAAAAGAATTTTGAATTTTTTCTTTTATTTTGTATTTTAAAATTATTTTTAAATTTAATTTCACGATCTCACAAAATTAACATGACCTCAAATCCTGAACATATGTGTATATATATATATAAAGAAAATGATTGGATGTGGTCAAATAGGCTAAGACCCAAATGTTAAACGAATTAGGCCAATTGATCAGGGCTTCAATGGACATGAGGGCATCAAATTTCAATTTATTCTTATGAACATACATTTTATTTAGGCGTAAAAACTATAGCTACATCACTATGGTACCATTTTGAGGTTCTAAGCACATAGCGACAAAAAAACGCGACTAATTTTCATGGTCAATGCACATCGCAAGTCTATTAGAAGAGTTGGGTAGAAGCGGAGAAGAGGGGAAGACGAGTAAACGCGGAACAATATTAAACAACAATGAAAAAGTTCATATATAGGGTAAATTAAAAGATGTGGAGACAATTGATAATCATAGAAGGTGTTTGACATTACTTTTTAACTTCAAAAGTTCTTTTAGCAAAATGACTTTTTTGTAAAAGAAGTTTTTTAAATTATGTTTGGATTAGCTTTTGAAAGCAAAAATAACATTTAATGTTGTTGAGTGGGAGAATGTTTAATGATTGGTAAGTTTAAAGGCATTAATATAATTATTTTCTTTTTGTTTCAAAAGTTACAAAAAATCACATTTCCATGAATTTTGAAAAATAAGGATTTTATTCTTTACCAAAAGTTACTTATCTTTTATAACTTCTCAAATAACTTTTAGATTTTTAACTTTTTCTAAAAGTAAAAGATCTAAAAGTTGTTTAAAAAGCAATACCATTAAGAAAATGATTTGTTGAATATGAATACACCCAACTTACAACAGTAACTTATTGATTTGTTATGTGGAAGTGCATAAATTCACCCTTTAATATTTATATCTCTCACTTTCTTCATTCTCATTCATAATTACGAAATACAAAATAGTGAATTAGTAAATTGTATTGTTTTTCTCAATTCGAATTATCAATCTATATGTATTGATTTTCAACGTATTAATTGCTAAATTAGAATCAATTTCTTGTAGTATCTAAATATGTGCAAGTTATAAAGATTACTAAAGTCTAAATCACAAAATTACTAATTTAATATTCAATTTGATTAGTTTCGTAATTTTAGTGTTTGCTGTAATTTTAGTGTTTACTGAAAATTAATTTTTGTTTAGGTTGAAATGGCTAATTTGATTTTACTTGCAATTTATTAGAGTTAACCGATAATTTGAAATATTTGTTATGTTCCCTTAGTTGATAGTTCAACAAAGATGGGTTTAGTTGTTGGTTATTATGAAGTCATCAATGGAGTTGGATATTTGGATTGTTGATGAGATGCACAATACATATACACTTTTCTCTGTGTTAGTGCATGTTTATAAGTTTTATAGGTTATTTTTTCAAATTATCACTTCAAATTCTGATGCTTCTTAGTTTTTTTGTTGTATAATAATCAGTAATACCTTTATATTTCTTGTTCTACCCTTATAGTTGCACAATTGTCCTCTGCTCCTACTGTGTCTCCTCTTCACGATATTTCTGAAGTGTTTGAAGTATGCTATTAATTTTTGTTCGATTTGGGATTGCGTGAGATCAGTTGTTGTTCTTTGTTCTTCGGTTTCAAGTTGTGCTAATTGATCTTTCTCATATAATGTTAGTGCAGCTTTAGCTTATGTTCAAGTTTTTTTGGTTATATTATATTGTGATCTATTTAAATGTAACACCCAGATATCAGGCAATTTCATTTTTGACCCAAAAGATAAAATATGTTGTATTTTGGTCCTTATGCCATGCGTACTTGGGACATATGTATGGCGTAGCTCTTTAAAAAGGGACGTGCACTTAAGTGAGTATGTTGGGCGTACGTAGTAGGTGGAAAAACCCTAATTTTGAGTGTTTGAGCACTATTTAAGAATCCTTATCCCCTCAAAACCCTTTCCTTCATCAACATTCATCTCTCAAAACATCCCTTACAACCCCTAATCCATTGTGTGAGCCTTACTGAGCTTGAGAGTGCATTTTTATGTTCTTAAAGGAAGAAAAAGGAAACAGAATCATCTTGGAAGCTCAAGGTAACTTAGATCCAGAAGTATCTCACCCTCAAGTATCTATTAAATGTATCAAACTTGAAACTTGATGAATGTTTTTCCTGGATCTTGCTAGTTCTTAAGTTTTTATGCATTTTAGTCCCATAATCTTGGTGTTCATGAGTATGGCTTACTCTAAACCACATGAGTTGTCCTTTCAGATATTTTTCAGTTCTATGAACCATGAACTATGATCTTACTCCTTTTATTCTCTTCATGCAAGAGTTATGATGCTTTGGTTGTGTATTAAGTTAGGTTTTTGGTTGTTGGATTACTTCTAGTCATGGAAAATCATAAAGTTGGCACTTTATGGCTTAGAATGATATTTGGGGGTAGATGTGAGTTTTGGACGTGGTATCTTAATGGAATAAGAACTTAATATAGAAAAAAGGAACAACTGAGTATGTTGGGTATACATGGTTAATGCCCCGTAACTTGGCCAAGGGTGCTTCTGAGCCTAAGGGCAAGGGCAAGGCTTGATGGTGCGACATGCACTCTCACAAGCATTTTTAGGGGACACTCTGATATCTGCAATAAAATTTGTTGATGTGCGGATTTGAAAATAATTGTTCTTGAAATTTTATGGTTGATTAGAAATGTTTTGATTATTTAAAAATGAAAATTTTCTTTTGGGTCGTTACAAGTTGGTATCAAAGCCTTGGTTTGAGGGATTCAGGTACACTCTCGGGGTATGTCAAGACTCAAACTAAGGAAATGGTAAAATTGTTTTCAAAAATAAAAGTTAAAAACTTCTTAAAATGGAAAAGAGGAGAGTGCAATACGCGTGATCGGATGAGCCAAGTAAGTAGTTCCCCAATATATTACCCTCGTTATACTGATATTTGGATTATGATAATCGTATGAATCTTGCTATGTGTATGCTTTCAAATTTATATATGGTTAGGGTCTTATAGCCTCAGAATGATTGATTTGTCCTTATTTCCTGTTCCTTTTATAGTTGTGATCTTAGGGTAGAATTTGTTATTCGAAAGTCTATTTGATCATATCATGTGTATAATTTGCATTCATAAGGCAACCTGTCATGATTGAGTTCTGGTTTGATATGGATGGAGGAAATCTTAGGATAGCCTCAGTAGCCGGTGAGACATGATTTGTTCTGGGACGAATTAGAGTTATCTGGTAGAGCCTTGGAGAAGGTACAGGTAGGTGTGGAATGTAGTATTGGGCCTGTACTACTGGAAGCACAAGACATGTACCCG